GTTTCTCAAAATAGGAGTAAGTTTGATGTGTGGTGTGACATTTCAGTTTACCAACTCTCAGTTTCTGAAAACAGGGACAATTTATGTGCCCCGATAACTTCCAAGAGGCAAGGAGTATATAATTGTAGAATATGTTTTTATTTTTTTAGGTAATATGACACTGTTTAAGGTGCCTTCTGAACACATAGCTTGGTAGGGAAGGAAGTAGAAATGGAAATCCTTTCTGTATAGAACTGTTCTTTTGTGTAAGGAGCCTGCTTTTTTGTTCCCAAGAATGTGATGATGTAATTGGAGCTTAGCATCTCTCTGACCACTCAGAACACTGCTGTTGCTGCTGCTCACCACCACGTGGGAAGTGATGCTGCTCCTTGCTCCTCACAGGCAGGACTTGTGAAGTGTCACTCTTAAAATATCTGTTTCATAATTCGGCAGATGCATTTTCTTTTCTTTTCTTTTTTGTTTATTTTGTTTAAAATATTACAGATGTCCCTTTTTCTCCCCAATAACCCATTTCACCCTGCCTCATTCCCCTCTCCAGTCCCTCTCCCCACCATTGTCCGTGTCCTTGGGTTGTGCATACATGCATATAAATTATTTGGTTACTCTCTCCCCCTCCACCCACCCGCCCTCCTCCATCCCTCTGACATTCGTCAGTCTGATTCATGTTTCCATGTCATTGAATCTATTCTGTTCATCAGTTTATTAAGTTCTTTGGATTCCACATATAAGCAAGATCATGTGATGTATGTCTTTCTCTGCCTGGCTTATTTCACTTAGCATGATATTCTCCAGGTCCCTCCATACTGTCCTAAAGGGTAGGAGATCCTTCTTCTTTACAGCTGCCTAGTATTCCATGGTGTAAATGTCCCACAGCTTTTTATCCACTCAGCTACTGATGGGCACTTGGGCTGTTTCCAGATCTTAGCTATCGTAAATTGTGCTGCTATGAATATAAGCGTTTTATTTTCTAGCACAGCCCTTTGTTAATTTATTTAACCCTTCTCTCATCTTAGTCCAGCAGATGAAAACTAAGTGGCTAAGCTGGCTGTTCCATCCACACCTTAGATCAGTGACAATATAAGAATTGTAACTGCTTCTGAGCCCCCAAAGTCATTCTTAAGGGCTCTACTAAACAATGCAAAATCTAAATTTTAACTTGAAATTTGTGCCCATGAAAATAAATGAATAATGTCAACTTTATCTTCACCATCAACAATCAACATTTCTAAGGTTCTCAGTTAAGTAAGTATCTATATGTAAGATCTATGCTCAGAACATTATTACAATGGTGTATATTATGACTTATTTTTCATCATAATTTGAGACAGTAACTTCATAAGTGTTAAAAGATCTAATCTACTTTGCTTTTGCTGTTGTTTTTCTGCTCCCTGACAGGCCTACCCTTGCAGCAGCGATAAGGAATGTGAAGTTGGGAGATACTGCCACAGTCCCCACCAAGGATCTTCAGCCTGCATGGTGTGTCGAAGGAAAAAGAAGCGCTGCCATAGAGACGGCATGTGTTGCCCTGGTAACCGCTGCAATAATGGTAAAGATTGCGCTCAGTGTTGATGGTCCTCTTTCTTTTCATGTTAGTCTACCTTCTCCATAAACTCCCAACATGTAAAGAGCCTTTCCAGACAGGCAAGTTTAGATAAGATTTCCTGGATTACCTCTAAAATCTTAGTTTCCCTAGGCTTTCATCACCTTCTGTATTTAATAATCTATGCTGAGTTGGATCTACCCTGTTGAAGAGTTGCATGTAAATAGCTAAATGTTCTATTACACTAAAAACATGAGCAAAGGCATGCAAAAGAACCAAAGAAAAGAACCTGCTGTGATTTGGTAATGCAGCTGTGAGTCCATCTTCCAATTTCATATCCACTTCATACATTGATTCTTATACCCAAAGTATCCTTTTTTTGAAGGCCTTGCCTGGCGGAACGCTCAGGTGGTGATGAAGTGGTTGGTTCCTCCAAAAGGAATTATAAGAGTCTATTCCCCAGCCATTCCATAAACATGGTTTCACCCAATGAATTTATAGGCAAAAATTCAGCATTAATGATGAAATGAAGAGCTGCAGACAACACGCGATAAAACCACTAAATAATTGCAGAAGGTGATCAGAAACATACACTTAGTCTTGCAAGCAACATAATCAGGCTCATATTCCTATACTTGTTCCTCACCTCTGGGCATAGACCTGCTGTAAATACCTTGGACAGGAAGTGAAGGGCAGAGGACCTCATACCATTAGAAAACTTTACAGTGTAGATTAGGATTGCATTGTTGATTGAACAAAGGGAACTGTGTCCCAAAGATGCATGTCTGGTCAGACATTTTTAAAGTATGAACAGCTAATATTAATTTAGTACTTTACTATGTCACTATTCTGAGCCTCCGAATGTATTCACAATAACTTATTAAAGTGAATTCTGTTTTTATTCCGACTTTTGCCCAAGGTCACTTAGTCTTTTTCCCCCCAATATTTTTATGAATCTCAGAGAGAGGAAGGAAGAAGGAGAGAGAGATAGAAACATCAATGATGAGAGAGAGTCATTGATCGGCTGCCTCCTGCATGCCCTATTCTGAGGATTGAGGCCGCAACCGGGCATGTGCCCTGACCAAGAATTGAACCTTGANATTCTGAGGATTGAGGCCGCAACTGGGCATGTGCCCTGACCAAGAATTGAACCTTGATTTCCTGGATCATAGGTGGATGTTCAACCACTGAGCCACGCTGTCTGGGCATCACTTAGTCTTGAGAGAGAGAAGATGCCAATCAAGAAAGCCTGGTTCAGGGACAAACTTTTCAATACTCAGTTTCAATAAATTTGTAAATGAATGGATGGATGAATGAATAGATAGATGACAGATAGGTAGATGATAGATAGATTAGATAGATGATTAGATAGATAGATAGATAGATAGATAGATAGATAGATAGATGACAGATAGATAAATAATGACAGATAGATGATGATAGATAGATGATAGATGATAGATAGATGATAGATGATGATATAGATAGATGATGATAGATAGATAGATGATGATAGATAGATAGATAGATAGATGATAGATAGATCTTCATGCCTCACACCAGGAGAATACTTGGATACAAACCACACTGTATAGAATTGAATAAAACTAACCTCTTACCTGACCATTTTCAGGCATCTGCATCCCAGTCACCGAGAGCATCTTAACCCCTCACATCCCAGCTCTGGATGGCACTCGGCATAGAGATCGAAACCATGGCCATTACTCCAACCACGACTTGGGATGGCAGAATCTAGGAAGACCACACACTAAGATGTCACATATAAAAGGTAGGGAATACCTGTAGTCTTATGTCTACTTTTTATAAAGAAGCACAGAAACTATACTTACTTAACTCCATTGGTTTTAGAAAAATACAAAGAAGATGTTTTAAAGGCAAGGATTTAACTGAATTTATTAATTTTTTTTTTGTTAATCCTCACCAGAGAATACTTTTTCCATTGTTTTTCAGAGAGTGGAAGGGGGGGTGAGAGAGAGAGAGAGAGAAACATCAATGTGAGAGAGACACATCCATTGATTGTCTCCCTCATGTGGCCCAACCAGGGCTGGGGATGGAGCCTGCAAACGAGGTACGTGGCCTTGGCTGGAATTGAACCCAGGACACTTCAGGCCTCATTCTGATGCTCTAACCACTGAACCAAACTGGATAGGGCATGAGTTTATTAATTCTTAAATTTAAAGATTCTTAAAGCTGTTTTAGAGATCTTAAATTGTTAGTAAATATGTGTTACAAGAAGTGCAATACCCTGATCTACCATGTCACTTTCTTAACATTCCTGTTTTTTTCATGGGATTTAGAAGAAATTCCTTATACAACATTTCAATCACATATCAAAAGGTAAAGAAAGCATTCTGAAAAATAAATAAGAAAATGTGTACTTCCATGTGACTTAATCACTGTGTTTTTTAGCCTTTCTCACCTTTGCAGATTGAGAAATTTTATTTCACTAAACAACCAGATAACATAATATTCATAAAGCAATTTACTACAAATAATTGGTTTCTAGTGCAGTTATGTATGGCCATAAATCCCCTTCATTGTATCAAAATATTTGAGAAGATTAATGCCTAATGACAAAATTTAAAAGTATGAACCTTATTACCAGTAGTAAAAATTTAAAAACATCCATTTTTAAAGGAAGCTTCTTGTAAGTATATTCTGTGGAGCAGTACTCTTTCAAGACATTCTGTGAATAAAAGTGCCCTGTGTTCAAGAGTTCTGTAATAATGTACCTCACCATTTTGGGAACTTTATAATAAACATTGGTTTATTGAAGACTCTGAGAAGTTCAGCAATGAGGAAAACTGATTAACTTTTTAAAATATTGTATTTCCCCAACTTGCTTGAATAAAAAAAACCTATTTCCCCACATTTTCATTTCCTGCAAAGAAAGTATCATATAAGATACCTGACCAATTAGTCCGACCTGGAATACAAATGGTCACGTGGATAGGACTAGAGACTGACAATTCTTCTTCAATTATCCTTTGTTTACACTCTTAAAGGCCTAAGTCCTTTACCCATATCTCCTATTCCAACTCCACCAAGTTCACATGAATTTGTTAATACATGAGTATTTCTCTTTATTCTAGATGTCTATGTCACTGTATATTTTCAAAGTTACTACTTATTTATATATAATTATATGTACAATTTTATGACAGCAAGTAGGAAGAACTCTTATGCGGATGGCTAGTGAGTTGTGCCCACATCACACAGTGGAATTGGTTACATATGGGATGATAGATGACCGTTTTGACCAGGATTCTCACACCATGGCCTATGAGCCAAATCGGTCCTGCTGCCTGTTTTTGTAAATAATCTTTTATTGTAACACAGACTTGCTCATTTATTTAGACATTATCTATGGCTGTTTTTGCAAGACAGCAGCAGAATTGAAGAATTGTGACACATATGATCTAAAAAGCCAAAAAGATTTCTAATCTGTATGTAACAGAGAAGTTTGCTGACCACTTCTTTATACAGGTTACACATCAACCCAACTGGGATGTGGGGGCTCTACATGGGCCAGGGCTCCACATGTTTTTTGTTTTTTTGTTTGTTTGTTCAATATCTTTTTTATTGATTTTAGAGAGAAGTGAGAGGGAGAGAGAGATGAAAACATCCCTGTGAAAGGGAAACATCGATTGGCTGCCTCCTACACAACCCCTACTGGGGATCAAGCTCACAACCTGGGCATGTGCTCTGACCAGGAATCAAACTGGTGACCGTTTGGTACATGGGAAGACACTCAACTAACTGAGCCACACCAGCCAGGGCTCCACATGTTTTTCTGTGGCAGGTTCTTGGTTGATTCTGGGGCGTTCTGTCCTTTCTCTGTATCACACCTCTTTCTAGACTGCATTTCCTATGCTTCTGGCCACATGGGTTTGCCTGTGGTGGGACACTGAGAGGAAGGGGAAAGAAAAAGCCAACATGTTCTCCTTGCCTCCAGCAGTGTTTCTGGCAGAGCTGTATCTCCTTGGGGTTTTAGTCCCTCCAGTTGGGCCTGATGAGCTGTCATTCCAGCTAGTGACCCAAGTCCTCAATTCTGCCATCATTTGCTCCTCTGGATCCTCCAGTCTGAATGTGGTAGTAGCTTCCTGCTGTGCTGCTTTAGCATCCTCTGATACTTCTGAGCCCTGCCACTACCTGTGTGACCAGTTCTCTGTATTAAATACCTTCTGTTTTGAAGAATCAGTTTCCATTTTCCTGGCTAGACTCTGATACATGATCTTAGGCGATCCTGAGAATTTCAACTTCCTCCTTGAATCAGAGTTTGTTTACACCTCTCAAGAAGGTATCAAATTAATTAAATTGAAAATAATTATTTTTATTTTCTTATTTTGCACTCATCTAGTAAAAAAATAATAATGATGATGATCAGGGAAGTATCTAGAAGTAGACCATGACAAAGTAAAGAAAAGATAAAGTATAATCTAGCTATTTATTAAACTTGATATTCACACAGCAAATATGAAAATAAACAATAATAGATTTACAGGTTTAGAGGGAGAGCCCATTTTTTTGAATCCAAGACATTATGGAAGACAGCATAAGTGAAAATATTTTATGTGCTTCTGATTGTAAAGTAAAATTTTTGCTGAAGTGTTGTGGTGACATGTTTCGGTCATCATCCCTGTAGGGCATGAAGGAGACCCCTGCCTACGATCGTCAGATTGCATTGAAGGGTTTTGCTGTGCTCGTCACTTCTGGACCAAGATCTGCAAGCCAGTGCTCCATCAGGGGGAAGTCTGTACCAAACAGCGCAAGAAGGGCTCTCATGGGCTGGAAATTTTCCAGCGGTGCGACTGTGCAAAAGGCCTGTCTTGTAAAGTATGGAAAGATGCCACCTACTCCTCCAAAGCGAGACTCCACGTGTGTCAGAAAATATGATCACTTCAGAGAAAATGCATCCCAAGCAGACTGTGAGCCTGTGCATTTAGTGCATCATAGCAGGTGGAAGATAGGATTCGGATCTCAGAAGAATGGCTAATGTAAGGCATGTGATAAGAGTATAAATCACAGAGAGAGAGAAAAATGGGAACTAAGCTGATTGGAAAGGGTGACTAATGTGGTGCAACTTGTGTGTTTCCATTACTCAGCTTGTTTATGTAAATAATGTACACACTTGTGAAAATGCAATTACTGAAGAAGAAAAAAAGCACAGTGAAAATTACTGACGAACACCCTGGGACTTTCAGAGTTTAGGCTGTGCTGGAGGATTGGTGTCCTTCAGATTGGCGATTGTCTGTAAAATAACCTAAAAGCCGTATTTCTATTCAAAGTTATGGTTTAATAAAATACAGTATATCTTGGTATACAATAAGATCTAAAACATGAAAAAAATTGTTAAATAGGAAATGAAACACGGAGAAGAGTTCATTTCCAACACAGATTACCTTTTAAATTGGAACACTACTTCTGTTCAATTAAAGGCCTTGGTAGGCAAGAAAGAAAGCAGTTGATATTTCCTGAATGATTTCAAAATAATTGCAGGTCTTTTATCAGGGCCTTTAGAAAAGAAAAATAAACAACTTGTTTTTCTTCAAACTGCTTATTTATGGTTTCCAATATTCACTTTCACCTCTACTTAATAAGAACCAATATAACAAGACAAAAGTAGTCCCTTCAGATTCTTAAAGAATGACATTGAATATTTCTAAATTGTATGCGATTCCTACCATGAATAAATGTTATTTTCCAATCTAACCCCAATGGTAGTGAAAAGCACAGAGCAAAATCTTCACAGGTCACAAATCTTTATAAGATATCCAAAATAAATGGGAAATGAAGATAATAGAGAGATGGTTGCTTTTTAAAGCTTTGGCATTACCTTTGTGTTGATAGCATTAGACTGGTAAATACACTTATTCTTTACATACTCTGCAGTATATCAGGGTAAAGCTGATAACACAAACTGGAGCGGAATCTGTCCTGCACTGAAGCCAGCAAGGAAATGGGGGAATCTTTGTCAAGTATCCAGGTTTGGGCAATACACAGATATGTCTGAAACAAAATGACTCTTTGTGTTTGAGTCCGAAAGCTGCACAACCTAAATGGCAGTTTTCTATGGTATTTGCTCCCTCAAATACTCACCACACAGATGAGTACAGTGTGAGGTCACTAGTTGACCTCAAAATATATACTTTATCCATTTGAGGTTCTAAAATGATATGAGGAGTTCTAACAAAATTGACTTCCAAGAAAGGCAGTGCACAGTAAGATTCCATTGCCTTCATTTCTAACTGGCCGGTGGCAAGGTCTGATTTTTCTGCACCAACCTTTCCATACAACAGCTTTTTGTTTTTTGCCAAAGATATAGTTTCTGTTTTCTGCATCCATTGAGATAAAAAAGTATGTACATGGAATAACTTGTAAAATCTACATATTGCTAACCTATAAAACCACAGGTTCTTCATCCTTTGAAACTATTTTATCACTTTTTTTACTTTACTCACTTCTAAATATTATGTCTAGAGCATAAAGCAAAAAAGTTATAGTTGTTACTTCTGACCTTTTCTTTTTTAGACTTAAAATCACTCCTTAATTTTATTTTACTTAACCTTCATCTTTAGTCTCAAACTCAAGTTCTCCCAGTAGAAATTGAATCCAAGCCTGCCTGTCTATTAAGAATTTCAGCTTCCCACACACATCTACTAGGATAATTAAGATTTACTTTTCCCCTACATGTCTGTAAAAACAAAAAATTTCAGCTTATCTATCCAAGAACCATAGTCTGTGCAAACAGGATTCTATATGTTTGACAACATAAAAATGGAACATTTCAGTCAAATGCTTCCTATATAACAATTACATTTATAATCTGGTTTCTGCATTATTTCCCTTATGTACATCCCTTCAAAAATTATTATTTGAAGTAATTTATTTACAGGAAATGTTAATGAGATGTATTTTCTTATAGAGATATTTCTTACAGAAAGCTTTGTAGCAGAATATATTTGCAGCAATTGACTTTGTAATTTAGGGGGAATGTATAATAAGATAAAATATATTAAAATTTTCTCCTTTAAAAATTGACTTCAAATTTTCTTTTGTTTTTCTTATGGGAAAAAATTTCATAGAATCATGGATTCTCAAAGTTCAATTGGACTCGATCTGATTTTGTAGTCTAAGCGGAAATCCATTGGACAACATCACCATTAGATGATCCAAGGCAGTTTACGACTGAAGGCAGCTCATTTCATGGCATTTAGGGTTGTAATTTTTAGAAAGTTATTTTTTCGTTCAAGTATTCCAGTTAATGTTTTTCACCCATTCATTCTTATTTTGCTTTCTGGAACATCTTGGAACAAGGACTCTCTACTAACTTCTTCAAAACTCTTGAAGCCACCTAGCATATTTCTTATAACCATCTCTCCAGGTTAAAATTTTTCAAACTAGAAATGCCAACATGCTTAGAATATTGGTTCATTCTCCTATGGCACAGAGAAGATACACACTATCTTTATCCCGGTATGGATACAAACTGAGTTACCTGGCCCTAAGTGAACTCAAACTTGCTTCCTGGGAAGGTCTTTCCTCTGCTTCCTGAACACAAGGATGTCAGGAGTATTTAACAAACAGTACTCACCAATTATGAGACCATGAGGGGTTGTATTGGAGACGACAATGGGATAAAAATGTGGAAAAATAAACATCTGTGACACAGTGGAGTGAATTAAGTACAACCAAGGCAGCATACGGAATTGAAACAGTCTCACAGCTAGATGTCAGAGTTGAAGATGCCTCAAGTACTGCTGACATAATTCCCACATTTCCTAATTAGTCACTTAAGTGTATTTATAAGTAGTTAATCCATTTCAGAATATTTATATTTCTTAGCTACAGCGTATTTTTATATTATAACAATCATATGGGTGTTATTTTTTTTTTCTTTTCCACTGAGCTCAGTGAGATGCTCTGGAAAGTGACAAATTGTCCTGACTTCTGTTTTAGACAAGAAATGAAATACCCATTGTAGCCTTCTGACTTGAGGAAACAATCAATTACACCTTTCTCACTCCCCAAATTCAGGCCATTTGAGAAAAAGACAAAGACAGAAAGGCAGATGAAGACAGATTACCCTGAAAAAATGAATATTGGTGAATGTGGTGTGTATCTGTGGGCAAGAAGACACCAGAAAGAGATAAGTTCTGTGCCCATTCTCAAGCAAGACCAGACAACATCAGTTCTACCTGTGGGAGCTGCTCCTGTAAACTTTACAACATGGGTAGGCAGAACAGAACGATACACTCTTCTGGCAGTTAGTGCCAAAGAAGGGTAGGAAAGGGATGGAACTATGTATTTCTCATTCAGGAATTTCATTTGAAATTCTACAGAACTGGATAATTCATACCACATGAGAGTAATGAGTGAGAGATAGAGTGAGACAAAGATAATTAGACACTCTACATCAAATTAACATTAAGAATTAGAAATGACCCCTCTCCCCCGATATCATTCCCCAGATCTTTATATTTTAACCCATTATATATAACCATTTATCTCTGATGAAGATATGGGTTTTAACCAAAATCTGATCAGATATCTACTAGAACAATACCTAATGAGGTCATTCCCCCAATGCCAATCACTCCTCCTATATGGATCCTCTCAGGACCAGGGGTGGGGAATTTAGATTTTATGCTCCCAAAATTGCAATATGGATGGAAATAGTTCATTCATTCAATTTACTCCAAGACCACACTACTCAGAACTGGAAAATAGCTCCTCTTTCTTTTCACTTTCCCAAATTATGTTTTGTGGTGAGATTAAATGACACATTGGGTATCTGATAATAAAATGTATAAAAGCATTTCAATCATAAAATTCCAGCAGTACAGAGCCTGGCCAGTGTGGCTCAGAGGTTGAGCATGGAACGTATGAACCAGGAGGTCATGGCTTAATTCCAGGTCAGGGCACATGCCTGGGTTACAGGCTTGATCCCCAGTGGGGGAGGTGAAGTGTGAGAGGCAGCCGATCAATGACTCTCATCATTGATGTTTCTCTCTCTCCTTCTCCCTTCCTCTCTTTGAAACCAATAAAAACATATTTTTTAAAATTCCAACAATACAGAGATGCTCTGCTTTTGAATATCAATTCTCTTCCATTAAAAATTCCTAGAATAAATTAAAGTATAAAATTTAAATTCACTTGCATGTTAAAGTCAAAATAAGTTGAAGTCAAAAAAGGTTAGAGTCTGTATTTGTTGTCTTCCTCTTTAGAATAAGGAGTCCAAAAAAATTGAAATTCGAAATCCTCAAGTTAATGGCTAGAGTTTTCTGTCTTCTTTTCATATTCTGCTCTGTTTCCACCAGAGGGATTCTTGATATCTGGGAGAAGTCAGACTCCTTCAGCAGCTATGTCCTGGACAATGTCTCACTGGAATGACAGACATCATTTTTTTAAAAAGTTCAATGAATTTTTAGCACACATGAGAGTAAGCCAAAGATTTCACCACATTTAGGAAGCAAGCCAATCTCTACCTCTTAGAGCAGATATCTCAAAAAATGTGCCAGGACATGGTGTTGTCAAAAACCATAGCAGAGATGCTTCACATCTGAGTGAAGGAAGATAGATGGAGAAAATCTTTGTTTGTGCATTGCAAAATTTCAACCAATCCCAATCAGCTGTCTGGAACCCATGACCTATGTACTTAAACTTACCTGAGAGAAATGTCTCCACAAGACCTGAGCTATGGCACAGTATTTTACCATGTGGTAGGGTGGGAGGAGAATCCACCTGTGTGGTCCACCTACTCATAGAGAATGTGTGATATTAAAGACATTGCTGCCTTCTTGTAAAACTGGTCAGTTTAGAAATTCACCATGATGTTAGCCTTATTGGGGCTTCTTTCTTATGTACCTAGCATATTGAAAGCATCACCAGTGCTTAACTGAGAACAGGTTTGGTTTGGTTTAGGGGGTGCCACAGTGGCTGCTTCCACTGCTTCATGCTGTGAAATTACTTATTCCCTCATCCCTGCTTTTGTGCTAGTTCTAGAAGCACATCAAAGGATTCCTGAAATAAAATTTCTATTGATAGTTACAAAAATTATTCTAGCAAAGGGTGCCTGAGGCACAGAAGACACTGCCAACTTACCTTCCTTCACTCAACACGTACTCACTGAGAGCACCTTCTATGTGCTAGGCAGCTTTGTAGGCACAGTGGGTAAAAGCAGAGAACCAAACTCATGAAGTTCATTTTCTCATTGTTTTTACATCTCAGTTATTTTTTAGAGCAATAACTAGGAAGCATAAAATAACTAAATAATTCATAAATTCTGTAAGAAACAGAGAGGAACACTTTGAAAAAAATTGAAGCAGGGTAGAGAAACAGAGGATGATGAGTAGTGTTATCTTAATTAGATGGTCAGGGATGACCTCTTGAAGTAGAAATAAAAGAGCAGAAACCTGACTGGCATGCGAGGTTGGCAATACAAAGGTCTGGAGAAACGGTGGTCTATGAAGATGAGCAAGGCAAGCATTTGACAATGGGAAGAAGTTGAAGGGGAGGGTGAAGTGGGATGGGAAAGGAGGAGGGGTAGGAGATGAGGTTGGAGAAGGAGTCAGGTCAGATTGTGCAGAATATTATTGACCATCATAAGTACTTCTATTTTGAAAGAGATTTGGAGCTGGCAAGAGCTTTTGAGCATGGGAACAGCATGAGCTAATATGTTTTCAAAGGATCACCCAGGCTGCTGTATGGAGAAGAGACTCTAGTGCATCTGGGCAAGAAGTGCTGGTGGCTTAGATTAGCGAAGTAAAGAAGTCGTGAGAAATCATTAGATTTTGGGTCTCTTGGAGATAGAGCCAACTGGATTTGCTAAACATAAACGTTTAGAGAAAAAGAGTAGAATCTCTCTAGCCTAGCATGAGGAACAAAAAAGAGAAGTTGTCAGTTTTAAAAGAGTTTAAAAAGTCTTCCCTGTACAGTGGCCTTCTATTTAATATATACAGAAAGAACTGTGCTCAGTAAAATCTCAACAATTCTTTAGAAAATTACCCTTTGTAAGTTTCTCACCATCGAGCTGAGGACTTGAGAAAAAATTCTATGTAGAAGGATTGCATCAACAACAAGAATTTGTTGGATGTACTAAGGAAAGCAGTTGCAGACAAGCAGAAAATGAGGAGGTGGCAAGAAGATATAGAAAAGACAGTAAACAGGGGTTAGGGCACAGAGATAGAGCAGAGATTCAAGTGAGCATGGAAGAAAGAGATGCATAGAGTAGAATGCTGGGAATCCTAAAAGGTGCTAATAAGATGCTTCAATTTAATACAGACTTCAAGGGGTGTCAAGAAAAACTCATGGGAGGAGAGTGTTTGACTCACAGCAGTAGGTTTAGAAAATTATTTTAGCAAAAGGTGTAGCTCAGGCAACACTCACATTGACATTGGGCCAATGAATTGCATTAAAGGGCAATTTGTCAAAGCAAGCCATAGTTCTCTCTCAGTCTTATGTAATTGTATAGTGTAGGACCTGGAAATTCTAAAGAAATAACAATATGCAAGTAATTGAAGTAGTTTCATGAGAAATACACTTGCCATCACACCTCTAACACATACGTCATGAATACCACAGTGCACAACCTTTTAAAATTTCCTAGGGGTCAACATTTCTTATAGATGCCATGGACTTGTTTTATTTGCTCCACACCTTCCCACTACACTGCACCTGCTACACCAGTCATCATTCTGTGTTTAATGGCCAGTCAGCCTCCAGGGCCTCGTAACAGATGGAGAACATCAGATCAGCTAGTGCATGTAAAATATTCTAAGTCCCACTTAAGCTTTTCAAGGAGACTTTGAAATTGAGATCATTTAATTTTCCATTTCTTTTCCTACCTGGCCTATCGCTCCTTACAGCTGTGTTCTTGTCTGTTTCAATAACCATTTATTCTGTGCCCAATTGTATGACTTAAAGCTTATTTAGGCAACATTAAGACTGAGCATCGTCTATGGAAATTTTAATGTAACATTTAAGCTATTTAGCACACGTCCATGTCTTATAAATTTCCTAGATCCAAATATAGTGATGCT